GTTGAATGAGTCTTAAGTCTAATTAGAGAGCTTTTGTTTACCACCAAGGTATGCACCTGGAGGATTATCATACTGTCGTTATCGCTGATGTGATTCTTAGATTGTCATGTCTTGGTAGGGCTGTTGCTGCATCCCTCTTTTACATGGCACCTTCTGGTACAATGAAAGCAGGTCCCCAAAGAAGGGGTATTCAGATCAGTTCTAGTTCCTGGGTCTCTGGGCTCCATTTCTGAAGGGCACAGTGCCTCTAGTAAGAGAGACTTATGTTCCATCTCTGGGTAGTAACTAAGGCAACAGCAGTAGGAGATTACTACAAAAAAAGCTAAAACCAATCAAAATGCAGAGCTGTGGAGGCCAGTCTCAATAGATACATTCATAAAACACTCCAGTACCTAAGGTTCAAAGAAAGAAGAAGAAGAAGAAGAAGAAGAAGAAGAAGAAGAAGAAGAAGAAGAAGAAGAAGAAGAAGAAGAAGAAGACAGAAGTTTATGAAAGCCAGATGATCAGAGAGTTTGCTTTGAGCTTGACTTTTCAAGCAATGTCAGAAGATACACCCATAAAGTCTACTCAACATGAACACCAAAACATGAGCTGAATAAGTATGACACCATCGAACATGCCAAACTAGACGAGTAAAAGGTCAGGAAGCCTCAACCCTACACAAAGAACTACAAGCAACTGAAGTAGGGAGAGGAGAGGTAGCATTGCCCACAAAAAAGCACACCAATTGGTTGTCCAGTGCCAAGAGATCATCCCTGAAAACATATGTGCAAGTGACATATGGTTTCAACAGGTTATATTTAGGAACATATATGTATATACAAATACATATATGGATGCAGTAACAATGAAAATGAAGCCATGAATTTGAAGGAGAGTGGGGATTATGGGCAGGTTTAGAGGGAGGAAAGGGAAGGAAGAAATTAAATTTAATTAATTAAATTACAGCCTTGCAAATAAACAAACAAAAATAAATTGGGGACTACAAACAATTATAATAATGGTCATGTTTACCAGCAACACGAGGAAATAAAGAAAAAGAATATGGTAAAAATGCAAATAAATAATAGACTAGAAATATAAACAGAATTCTCAATATAAGAAATAAAAATGATTAAGAAATACTTCAAAAATTGTAAACTCCATATTTAGCACTTTCATTATCAGTAAGATTGGAATTTGATTTACTATTCTTAGGTGACATTTTGTAAGAACAATTTCTGACAGAAAGAAATTGCTCAATAAATGGAAAATCACAACTGGACTCAATGAAGAGATCAACGGATTGTGGGGAGCTAAGCCCTAGTCAATACATCTACATCATATCCTCTGCATCTATAGCTCAGGGAACACTGAGGAAGAGGGCTCAGAAAAATTGTAAGAGCTAGAGAAAGAAACCACCAAAGATCCTTACGAACCAAAATAATAGGAAAGGCAAAAATGCAAAAGTCCTCTCATTGCATTCTCTGTTTACAAGTTGGATGCTGGCATAAAGACGGATGTATAAGCTGTTGGAGTATAAAAGAATGAAGAGAAAAGCATGTGCATGCATGACCAGCTGAAGATATACACTAAAGACACAGTGAGAAAAGAAAAATCTCTTTAATAAATGCTGTTGGGAAAACTCAATATCCACAAGAATGAAATTATATCCACTCAGAATGGATTCAAGATATAAATTTAAATAAGACATAAAACTGCAAATTCCTAGAAGAAAATGAAAATCTTCCAAACATTGGTCTTGACAATGATTTCCTGTCAAGACCAATCATTTGACTAAAATCATAGCCAAACAAAACAAAGCTTGTGTGAGTCTGCATCAAATGTGAAAAGCTTCAATAAAGCACAGGAAACAGCCAACAAGTGTAATACCGGCCTATGGGATGTGGGAAAATATGTTCAAACTGTGTATCTAGTAGTGGGTTAGTATCCAGGAAACATTAAGGACTTTGGCAACATAATGGCTAAAGCAAACAAGAAAAAACAACTAAAAGATAAATAATAAGAAGCCACTTGTTTGTTTTCCCAGCTACACAGACTCCCTAAATAATCACACAGAAACTGTATTAATTAAATCACTGCTTGGCCTCTTAGCTCTGTCTTACATCTTAATTTAACCCATTTCCATTATTTTATATTTTACCATAAGGCTCATGGCCTACCAGCAAGGCTCCAGCATATCTCTCTCATGTGATAGCTGCATGGATTCTCACTAACTCCTCCTTCTTTCTCCCAGCATTCAGTTTAGTTTTCCCCACCTACCTCTATTCCCTGTGCAGGCCCAAGAGAGTTTCTTTATTAACCAATAATGATGTTCACAGCATACAAAGGAGACTCTCACATCCAAAATAGACAAGACTTGACCAGATTTATCTCCAAAGAAGATACACAAATGGCCAATATCTAAACCAAATACATCTATCATTATTATGCATGTGGGAAATGTAACACCTCAATGAGATATTGCACCGTGCCCATGAAAAATTAATCAATCTTCTTTATAAAACAGAAAATAAGTATTGACAACAATGTGAAGATATGAAGCGCTTGATCGCTGTTGGAATGTGTAATACAGCTACTACATAAAACAATATGGAAGCATCTTGTTTGGTTTCTTGTTGTTGTTTTTCTTCTTCAACTTGACACACTTGAGTTAAGTGGGAAGAGGAACCTTAATTTAGAAACTATCCCCATCAGATTGGCCTATAGGCAAGTCTATGGGATATTGTCTTGAGTAAAGATTGATGAGGGAGTTCTCAACCCACTTTGGGTAGTGCTATCCCTGGGCAGGTAATCCTAGAATATATAAAACAGTAAACTGTGCAAGCCAGTAATCAGTGTTCCTCCATGGCTTTTGTTTCAGTTCCTGCCTACTGTGCCTTGAGTTCCTGCCCTGACTTCCCTTAGGAAGTGTATGAGTTCCTTCTCAGGCCTGGGGTATAGCCTGAAAGTTCAAAGAAGAAAGTCATTCTTTCCTCCTCAGGATGCTTTTGGTCATGATGTTTTGTCATAGCAATAAAAACCCTAACTAAGACAAGAGATTTCTTGAAAGAATTGAAATTATAGTCTTGAGAGATTTGTTATCCTGTGTTCATTGCAGTGACATTGTATGTCATTGCTACAGCTAAGAATAACCTACATGCCTAACACTGGAAGATGATAAAATGAGCAGAGTACAGACATACAGCACAAGATGATTCAGCCTTAAAAAGATAAAATATGGTCTAACGCATGAATGAGTCTTGAGGACACAGCATTAATTGAAATAAGCTGGTCACAGAAGGCATAATACCACAAGCTCCCACAAACATGAGGCACACAAAGTAGTCAAATTCAGATTCAAGGAACAGTGGTTGCCAGGATCTGGGAAGAACTGGGATCTAAGAGCTGGTTCCCAAGGATTGTAATGTTTCAGTCACACGCAATGAGAAAGGATAAGCGATCTGTTGAAGGTTATACTTACAGTGAGCACTGCTGTCATGTATGTACAAACTACACCTCACATTGTGTTTTGTGCCACATTAAAAACAAAGCAGTCATTGCATATGAAAACTTGAAGTAAAAACCCAATTAGTGGAAGGAATTTTAAAGAGTCTGATCTTTTCCTAGAAACCAGTAGCCAGCCACACTTCAAAACCACATTTGATTTTGTTTTTCAAAGTGTATTCCACAATTTTTCTTGGTAGCTCCCTCCATTATCCTCAGGAAATTTTTCTTTAAAGTTGCCCTAACTCTATCATGAAATATGACTTCTGTTTCCTTGTCCTAAGTCTAAGTGTTTTATTTGGTACTTGTCCATGCCCCTGAGACTTTTTTGTGTGTGCCTTCTCTTCTTGTACCATAAAATTTTTAAAATGGCCCTGGGACTTTATCATGCTGTAAAGGACTGAAGTTCCTTGGTGTTGTCTGGCAGATGGATGATAGCTCGGGCTTCATAATGAAATAACCACTTCAGCCAGCAAGACAGTTACCTCATCAAATTGCATTTTCTTCCCCAGCCTTCTTTGTTACCTAGCCCTTGTCTTTCAAAATGCCTGGAAGTGAGGTTCAATATTACTTGTATAAGCAACATGTGATCACTTATATTTATGTCGAAATTAATTACCGTTCAAATAAATATCTGAATTTCAGTTCTGTAGTCACCGAAGTCACATATCATGTGATCAATGGCCACCTGTGGCTAATGGCTATGGTGTTGGAAGATGCAGATAAGCATTTTTATGTCTTTGGAAAGTTGCTATGGGTAACCCCATTCTATCTTCTGGTCCCATCTTCCCAAATCCTCCCTTTCTATTACCATATCAGAATACCTCACTCTAAATAAATCCCACTGCCTCATCTGAAAAATGAGAATACTCCAGAAAGAAGACTGACCCAGATTGTTTCTGAGGTTCCTTCACGGCACGAATATCTCTTTTGTGAATCTACTAAGATCTGACCCTTGATCAGGAAGATAACTCCATTATAATAATGTTTCTTTGGAAAAAGAATATCAAATTTGAATTACATCATCCTAACTCACTGTCTCTGCCAAGAATATAACCTACTTAAGTGTGGGATCTGCTTTCCAGCTCTGTAAATTCCTTCTCGGGTCCAACATGGCAGGTGGTGCTTAAACCATAGCAGTTTCTTCATAGCCCAGCAGGGCTCGAAAACACTGTGATAAGAGAACCGGCTTCTCAAAGAAGGGTCACAGCATGCATATGAGAAGACATCTGGGATGCAGAATATTCATTTAAAAATGCAAGCCACATAGTCTTGAAAGTAATTAATTGGAGAACATAAGTTGGATTTGAACTAAAACCGAACCTCTGATTACACTTAATGTCTTCTCGATGATTAATGTATAAAGTATTTGCTGTTTACTAAACAAAGGATTTGTCTTTTCTTTACCATCTGAAAAATCTTGCTTAAAACACTTATTTTCAGGGATGTGATCATTTCTTTGGCACTTACTGGACTGTTAAATTGAATTCATGCTGTCCTTCCACATTTCCCAGCCTACTCAGGAAGTATGAAAACGAGAAGTGATGAGCAAGGCCTGGACATGTTTCTACATCCACTGTGCTAACATTTATTACTGCCATTCAGCCCTGCACACAGAACGCCACCTAGACCAAGATAAATGGTAAGTGATATCCTTTAATGCCTGGGTAACTACCCTTCCACTTAGTCCTAAACAGAGTAAGTTTCCTAACTCAAGAAATTACTCATTTTTATCACGGCTTTATTGAGATCACTGTGTTTTAGCACCACCATGTAAAATAGTCAGATATGTTTTGATGAAAATAGACTCCAGTGTAAGATATGCTTCAAGTATCAGTGTTGGCTTTAGGCTTTCCTGGGAAGGAAAAATGAATAAAGAAACAGATGAGTTATTTTCTCTATCTTTTTTTTTTTTTTTCAGTAAACTTCTGGGCCTTCAGTGGGGTCATTTTCAGCTTTGTTTTATCATTTGGGGCTTGGTGTATTTGTGCCGTGTGAGAACTCGGGAGGTTATTAGAATAGTCAGAAACAAGCAGTTTTAAATCTTGAGACTTACCAGCCTCCATGAGATAAAAACTAAATAGTATAAATATGGACACTTTTGCTGTTGTTGTTTCATTGAAAGAAGGATAGTAACCCTCAATTTTTTTTAAAGAGTCCATGGTCCAGAAGAGGCAAAATTCCTGACTGATGGATTTGGGATATAATCTACTCATGAAGAAGTTGCTACTTCTGTCACTAGTAGGTATTCTGAGTGGACACATCCTATCAGTTAGAGCTTTATGATGATGATGATGATGATGATGATGATGATGATGATGAAGAAGAAGAAGAGGAGGAGGAGGAGGAGAGGAGGAGGAGAGGAGGAGGAGGAGGGGGGGAGGAGGAGGAGGACAACAAAGACAAATGGGAGGACAAGCAGGAGGAGGAGCAGCGGCAGCAGCAAAAGCAGCAGCACCACCACCACCACCAAGGTGTGAATGCCAAGATCCTGCAGTTAGCCTCAGCTTTTAATCATTGAGAAGTTATCGATAATCCTTAATGATGGACTATAATTATGATTTACAATAAGAAAAAGGTATTTGATTTCTATATTCATTTTTGACATACCTCTTAACAGCTTTTCAAGTCTTTGTAATTTTCTAAAGGATGAGAGATGTGTGAGTGCCCTTGGTTATAATACTTGGTATCGTGTTTTTGGTTGTCTACACGACTGCAGAACTATAGTGAAAGAAATATCTCATTATTCATATAGTGAACAGATGTTCCTGGAAAGAGCCACACCCTACCCTGAGCCTTCTGCAAGGCTGTTTAGAACTTCAGTAATATGGAGAGCATGGAATGTCGTGAGAGCAGAGCCAAATGGTCCAGGCCGTCTTTAGCCCCCTGAATCGCCATTTTGTTGCCCTTTTCAGTAAGTGACCAAACATCATATTAACCTTTAGGTGAATCCTTTGAAATGTTCACACCGACTCCTAGCTCCTGCCAACTAAGCAGCTAAGAATTCAGTCACATAAGACTCATATAGATGTGATATATAGGAGGCATATAGCTGGGATTTCTCCACTGTTCTATGACTCACATACTCCATGTTTCTACAGACATACTTGAAAGGCATCTATGATTTTTTTCTTCTGTTACTATAAAACATCATGGAACTGCTACAACATTCAAATATGGAACTGAAGGCACCTGAATCTGTGTTACCAGGCCATGGCCACTCATATTTGGCTCCAGAACAAACTGTCTCTTGTTTCTTTTGAAGTAAGAGTAGTGTTTTTGTGTCAAGAACACCAATCTCTTCCAAGCTCACCTGCATTCATATTAATGGGGGATTTCCTGGAAAGCTCCCAGGTTGTCATAAGATAGGGGATAGGAACGTTTAGAACTGTTCTCCTGCCTCCCAGAGCCAGGGGAATGAAGGCTGAACTTATTTGATGAATAATTCTTATATCACACCACTTATGTAATAGCCCAAAAGGAGGGAGCTCAAAGACCTTATTGTGCCATAGAAATGACAGGAGAGCGGCATACTTGAAGAAGGTATGAAAGCTCTCAGCCCCCTTCTACACGTCTTGCAGTAGGTATTCATCTATTTACATATTCCTTAGTTGTATCCTTTATAACAAACTGTTTTAGTACACAATGCAGGTGCAGAATAGTGGGGACCTTTCTGACTCTCAACCAGTTGCTCAGAACCACATGAAGCAACCTGGGTTTGTGAGTGGCATCTGAATGGGGCCCCTATTATGAGTTTGAGCCCTTTCCCTGTGGGATCTCAAGATATCTCAAAGTAGATAACCTCATAATTTAGTTAAATTATAGGACAGTCAATTGGTGTCTACAGAGAACTGGAAAATGATTTGGCATGGAAAACCTACACGTGTGGTACCAGAAGTTGAAGTAAAGCCATTTTCCTACAGTTGGTCAATAGGAGAACGCAACTTTGACTTAAATGCTATAGACCATGCTAGATGCTCAGTTCTCAGCCAACTGGCATACACTCTTCCATTTTATCTTAATAGTCTTCAGATAGGTCTAATGTACTCTAAGATAAAGAAACTGAGGCCCATCCCAGATAACTAATATGCTCAAGAGAACAATACTAATGAAGTCCAGTACCAAACTTAAAACTTGTGCACTGAATCAAATAGTTTGCAAGCCAACATTGCCCAGCTAGGAACATCTTTCCAGAACCAAGTAATTCTACTGAGAATTGGTAAGAATTCAATTTTCCTGCCACCCTGCCAAAGACAGAAAAAGTGGCACAACTCACCCCCCCATTTTTTTCAGCAGAATGAAGCATAACTAATTTTAGAAGTTGAGTGGGGAAAGATTGAGGTACTTGCTGGTAGACATTCAACACAAGTGACTTTCTTTAACAACAATGGGGGAGGGGGAACAGCTTCTGAGAACTGCGAAGCAGCAGCCTCCATTTTCCTTGTGCTTCTCAGCTGGATTGCCCCTTTAAGAAGCTCAGCCCACCTGGTCACATTCATAGATCCTCTAAATAAAAACCTTAAAAAAGAAACCATCCAGGAGTGATCCCTAGCTAGTAAAAAGTGTTATTCTTCTGGTCCCTTTAAGGGACAAGCCACGCCCACTCCCAGTGACACCCCCCCACCCCCTCCATCTTGAAACTCTCTTACTGTCCCCTCTGGCGTGCACACACATGTCTCTGTCCCTCTCTCTCTCTCCTTTCTCTTCTCCTTCTTTCTATCTCTCTCTCTTTCTCTCTCTCTCCCTCTTTCTCTCTGCCCCTCCCTTCTCCTTTTCTCCTCCATAACCCCCTATGTTCTGTCTGTCAATGTCTCTGACTCCTGTCCCTCCACCCCTGCTGCAAGCCGGTCCAGGCACCCACTGTGAGCTCACTGCCTGCTTGGGTGGCTCTCCTGGGAAACTGCGAGTCTCTGCCTTGGGACTGGCTGTTCCCAGAGCTTGCTGCCTGCCTACAGTTGCTCAGGACTCGCCAGCATATCCCCACAGCGGGGATTTTTAAATAACATTAAAAAAAGTAAGACATATCATTTCAGAAGGAACAGAGAAGAAGCCATCTGAAGACCACTGTCAACTATTAGAGAGGAAGCTGTCCAGAACAATGAGTTTCCACAATTCGTGAAATTTACTTAACCCCAGCAAACCTTTTCTGACTCCTGCTCTACTCAAGACTTGCACAAAATGCTGATGGAGAGGCAAAGACACATGGAGAGAGATGGGTGCTCGTCAGAGGCCCTTGCTCATGGGTAGAACATGTACACACCAGGTCTGAACAAGCTGGCAGGCATTAGCTACACTGGAAAACCAATTTCCTGGCAATGTTCCAGAGGGGTACAGGAGAACCACAGTGATTCTCTAGATAGGAAGAAGCAACTATGAGGGAGGCAGCGAGAGCACAGGCTAGGGGAGGGGAGGGGAGGGGAGGGGAGGGGAGGGGAGGGGAGGGGAGAGGAGAGGAGAGGAGAGGAGAGGAGAGGAGAGGAGCGGGGAGGGGGGGGGCGGAGGGGGGGGGGGAGGAGAGGAGGGGGGGGGGGGGGGGGGGGGGGGAGGGGGGGGGGGGGGGGGGGGGGGGAGGGGAGAGGAGAGGAGAGGAGAGGAGAGGAGAGGCTGAGAAAACCAGGAAGCACAGTGGCCATGGAGAGTTAAGGATAGAAAGACAGTATGCTTGGCAAAGCAGGCTGATAATTAGGATGCCGATTTATCTCTGACAGGTCTGTCTCATGGACTCTGTAGTCAAAAGAAGCAACTCTGGGAAGAACGGGGAATGTCTCAGACCAGCAGGAGCTCCCATCTCACTCGGGACTGACTGTTTCTCAATAGGCAGTTTTTCAAAATCCTCTGGTATGTCACAGGCACAGGAAGCCCTGAGTAGCATTGCTGTCAACAGGGAAGACTTCCAGGGAAGAGGATGCAGCAATCCCTCCTTATCAGTTTCACTTCCGAGTTTTATTTGCTCCTGCCCCCCCCCCCAAAAAAATGTGGTCTGACAAGTTGGTGTGGAAATTTTCAGATATAAGCAATTCCTGAGTTTTAAGTTATGTGACATTCTTAATACTATGGTGCTATCTCTTAATATCCTGTATCATGCTTGGGACAGGAATCACTTTGATCCAGATTATTCACACTGCGTAAACTACTGGCCCGTCAACAGCTATCTTGTCTCAGTCACCAAAGTAATTCTTCAGTACCAAGGCCCAAATGTTCAACTCGTCTTTACACACCCATAATCACAGAGCAGAAGAGCGGTAATTCCAGCGTTTCTGACATGGCGGAGAGGAGCCAGGAAACACTTCCTTAAAGTGAAAGGTGAAGGGATCGTGGGATATTTTAAAGAGAGAGACCACATTCATTTAATGCCTATTGAGGTATAGTGTTAGAACAGTTTTACTTCATTGTTAGCTACCATGGTGATAGCCTACTGAGCTTAACTATAGGTTAAGCTTTAGTGTATATGGAGGAAATGCAGGGCACACAGCATTCAGTGAGAACCACAGTTCTAAGTGTCTCTTAGAGGTTTGGAACCTTCCCTCCTTTCTTTGAGGGGACTACTCGATAATCTGTTCTTATCTGTGTTTGGGGCACACAAACTTGTGACACGCGTTACAGGGCACAGAAGATGGCCACTTGATAAGCAGTTACTCTGTGACCCAAATCTTTTACTAAAACATGCTCATCTTTTGAAATGATAATTATTAAATGATATTTCAGTCACCGCTGCATCATTTTTGACTTTGGGGTAGTTAGAATATGAATTCCCTCAATGCAACCTATTTGCTGAAAGGAAAACCAGATTTCTGCCAAAAATAACTGTAAGTCACTATCTGGAATCTATGTAAACAGGTTGTTTGATTTTAGATGGCTTGAAATTTGCAGAATTGTTTGAAATCTGGAAGCCCTAGACCCTGTGATACGGGATGATAAGATTAATCAGACAGGCTCAGTGGCCTTGTTCCAGAATAGTCTCTAACAACCCATATGCCCTCCCCCACTCCCCGAACACCCATTTTGAGATAGCCAGGATAATTTTCTTCATTTCCTGCCCAGGCAGCTGTGGAATGTTGTAATTCATTGTCAGACAGCTGCAGCCATCCTCCTTAGGAAGGGATACATCTTGTCAAGGATACAGTTATTCTCAAATTTTGAGTTTATTTTTTACACGGCCGTGTACCCGCCAGATGTAGAAATAGTCTAGCTCGAGAAACCTCAAAGGGAAGCCGAGTCTAACATGTGCGTCCCTGCTTGGGGGTCAGTGCTACAAATACCCTCACCAGGTCGCCTGTAATCTTCTCTGCTCCAGCAAACAGTCCAACCCACTCCTTCTGGAAAATCCTCTGGACTCCTGGAAATCACTCCTTCCTCGCGGAGTCAACTTTAACCCTCTCCTGCAAGCAGATAAGAAAATGCATCTTGCAAGTGAAGAGGAACCAACTGTAATCCTCAATTATCTCCCCTCTCCGCATCCACCGAACAGCCAGGCTAACTTCTGATCTTTACTAGAAAGCTGCGTCAAGAGAGTAGAAGCAGAAGCGGAACTGAAAGATTAAAATCGCTCTGTGTCAAAGTAAAAAGCAGACTATGGGATGGGAGGCCTGAAGGGAGTGGGGAGTGAGAACGAGAGCCGGTAACAGAATACATCGGGAAAGCCGAAGTGGGACTGCCGGGGAAATATTAGCAAGAGGGGCGTGGGTCGTAAGGGAGGGATAGAGGGCGGGAACTAATGAATACACCGACGTGTGTGAGGATACGAGGAAAAATCCTTTTCTCTTCAAGCTAAGCAAAATAATAATGATGTACGACAAGGGACAGATAGAGACAGCCACATAAAAATAGAAATTTCCCTCCGATAACAATAGACACGACTTGGGAGACTCCCGGGATCGGAGACACTCTGAGTCACTAGAAGTGCCTTGGGAGGACTAAGACTTTAACAGACTGAGGGAATGACTGTTAGGTCAAGGGACACTTATTTCAGTGCCAAGGCCTGCAATTTAAATACCATGAGTCACAAACAGTAAAACTATGAATGAAAAATCTCTACTCAGGACTTCCTTTGTTTTCCACAGAACTTGATAATCTGGTACTATTTCAACATTTTTAGGTATCTTAGAGTCAGAAAAAATGGATCCAGAAACAGTTAAAGTATTCTCTAGTTCCTTTCAAGAAATTGGTGTTTAATTGTTATTTGGGGAGTCCCTCCCAATGAAACTTCATTTTTCCCCATTTCTGTTTCAGAATATCTAATACTTAGTAAGTTTAGACAAAAGCAAGCCAAGCTATTCCAGAAGTCCATACAACCTCTCATGAGACTCTAGTCCCTGAAACCGAAAGGGACAGAGGCTGTCCAGGAACAGAGACAGCAAGTTGAAATAATGACAAAGGATCATCAACAAAGCTCTGAGAAACTGTGAGTACCCGATGCTTACCTAGCACCTTGCTGGGCAGAGGCTGAAACAGGGCAAATTCTGAAGGCAAAAATCCCTTCTCACAAAGCTTACAGCAATGAAAGGACAATTGCCACATCGTTTATCAATATTACTGCAGCAGCCGCACTAGCTCTCAGAAAAGGTCTCTAGATTGACTCGGGAGAAGCAATTCTCCAAGAGTTCATTGTCCTCAGAAACTACGTGTTTTCCCCAGCACTGTGCATAGCGCTCATTGCTGTGCATGGAGCCTAGTGCTGTGCATGATGCTCCAGTGCATTGTCCATGCTAGGTAAGTAGTGCTTTGCCACACAACTGCATCCCTGGCTCTTGTTTTGCTGTTGCTTGTTCTAGGGTTTCTTTCTTTTTCTTTTTCTTTTTTTTTTTTTTTTTTTTGGAGGCTGAGTCCCACTTGGTACCTCAGCCTTGAACTCACGTTCTTCCTTCCACCTTCTGAATACTGAGTCTCAGTACTCAGACTGAAAACTGTAGGCATGAACTTTCATACCTGGCTAGGTATTAATTCTGATGAATTTTTAAAATAAATCAACCTGGATATGCACAAGCAGGGTGGGCCAGTTCTAAAAGAGTTTATAGCTTGGCTAAAGAATGTGTAGACGATCATCACTGCACGTCAGAACAAAAGATTCTTTTGTTTTGCTGATTCTTTTTATTTTGTTTTGAAAACGTAGATATTGTTTATTAAAACACGGTAGCATAATAATAAGAAAAAGAATTAAGTAGGGCAGTCGTGGACATGCTCAAGATTTCCTGGCACCTTCAAAGAAGGTTGAATCCTGTAGTCTGGGTGACCTCTGTTGGCATAGTCAGGAATTAATTATACGTGGTCTGCAGGTTTATGAGCGGAAAGGTCTGTGTCTCCATCCAGTAGATGAGAACAAGAGCTAGATGGCCTATGTTGGAACCCCAACTCTCCTGTTAGCAGATATCTTAAGTTCCACTCAAGCTCTCTGTACCAAGATTCCCCATATGGGAAATGGGGCTGACAACTATACGCACCCCACAGCGTTCCCCTAAGAGTACAAGGGCTAACACTGCAAGGGCTATACTAGATGGAAGCCGGGGCCATGTGGACAGCTGGTCAACAAATGGCTATAAGACAAGGAAGACACATCATAATTTGTCTCCGGTAATGATCACTTTTTCTATGAGCGAGATGGTGCTCCTATAAGGGAGGACACCATCCCTCTGAAGAAACCTCACTCCCAACCAACAAAGCCATCTGGACTACAGACAAATCAAACGGGTCTGAAGATGTCTCTCCAGACAGGCCACTCTGAGCGGCACACATGCCCGCAAGGTTCTTGCCATGATAAAGCCCAGCCTGCGCGCTCTTGAATTAATAACAGATATTCACAAAAGCAAGAGGCAGTCTCTTATGAAGGGATTAGAGATCCTAAAATCTGACAGCAAATTAGCATTGTACTCAAGCCATATCACTATATATGTTTCTTTGCTCAAAAGAAATCTGAATTTAATTACATTAATTGGATTTTTTTTGTCTTACTTAAGATTATATAATTAGCTGGAGCAAATCTCTGCTTTCCCAATTGTTCTCCACAAAAGTTCACAAAAAAAAAAAAAAATAAGAATCACTGTTTCTCTGGATCATTTTTTTTTTTTTTCAAATTACACTTAGGCGTACACACTGACCCTAGACTGACGGAGTTTGACAAAACTAATTTCCCATCCTCTTATCAGAGGTAGGTACTGAGGCAGCAGCCGCACGGAAACTGTTTAAAAGTTGCACAGGGCAATGAAATGCCAGGAAGTAAAATTGGCTGCCTTTTAGATTTTCTACAGACATGCTACATCCCAGAGAGACTGCTGTTCCAAAATTTTCATAATTAGTCATTTTCTTAAGCGGCGACAAAAATAAAGAACAAAAGCTACCACGAGAGGATATTAGGATTGCTGTACCCTACTTTGTCAGGCATCTTAATAAATGTCCCGCCAAAGAGGGTCAGGAGCAGACATCCTGCCCCCCTCACTGCAGACGAAAACTCTCCTGATAGGCGCTTGAGTCTCTGACCTGCAAATTAACATGCCCTGTTCGTCCAGATGGCCATTCTCCAGCGTGTGGGCTGACAGTCCTGTCAAACAAGGGCGAGTTCTTGACCACTCGCCTCATTTTCAATTGTGAGTAAAATCAGGATCTGAAGCCATGTCTCTGAAGATCAGACGCAATGACATGAACTTGGTCCCCTAATAAATCACAGCCAGAGTGAACGTTCAGGGGAGTGGATGCGATACGATTCTGCCGGCAGGATGAATTACAGGCGACTCATGTGTCCCTTTTTGCCTTGGCATCGAACTTGGAAGGAACTTTAATCAGTTCCTAAAACTCCACGTTTGCCTACTGCTTAAAGGCGTTGTGGTTGCAGTGGTTCTTTAGGGAAATCATCATACAGATGGCCTCGGGAGAAAATTACATATTTTATATTTAATATGAGGGGCAAAATTCAGAGCAAAAGCCATAGCTTTATCCAGGAATTGCTAGTGACGAAGGTACAAAAATTACTCATCAAATCCGTGTTGAAAGAATGAGAGTGACATGTCAAGTCATTTTGTTTGAAGTATTTTTAACATCTTATGTTTTCTATCTAGAAATGCCGAAAATAAGTAATAATACTTGAAAATTATGATTTACCTCGTGAATTCAGCTTTGGTAGAACAGGTGGTACTTAAGAAAGCATCACCAGTGAAAATCAAAACATCATAGAAATATTGATGTATTACTTCTGTGCTCTTCTTAGCGAGTTTTAAGCGGGCCAAATGGTATAAATTCAGCATTTAAACTTTTAAAAATACAAATATTCTTTTTTTGGTTCTTAATGCAAAGGTGTGTGCTCATGAAGAAAAAGCAATTTGTCAAGCTGGGGTGTACATGACAGCTTCCACTCCCCCACTTGCTGGGGAGGAACACAGACAATGCACACTGCTGAATGGAGCAAGTATCATTTAAGAGCTGAGATTGGCTTTTTTCTGTCTGTTTTCTCATTTACCACCTTAGTTGTATTTATTATTAACTTTTTATTTCAAATACTACATGTATGAATAAGCCTTCCCTACATATTTAAAATCAAACCGTATAAATTTCTTCCAAAGAGGCAAAACTGTTCACCTGTTCGAAGAATCCCCTTACACCTTTTCTCAAAGGGATGCACCAAACACCAAATGAGGAGACAAAATGTCTTTTATGGACCATATTTCATATGGATGATGATTTTTTCACATGTTCTAACTGATTTATTTATTTATTCATCTTCGACATGGCTTTATTTACCCAGTCCGGTCTCAAACACTACTACAGCCTATATAGACCCTCACACACTGTTAGTGAGAGACTTCAATATCCCACTTTCACCAATGGGCAGGTCATCCAGACAAAAACTAAACAGAGAAATACTGGAGCTTGCAGAAAATTGAAATAACTTCCTGCACCCTATCTGAACACCACAGATTAAAGCCGGATGCCAACAACAGAAATGAAAGAAAGTTTATAAATTCATGGAAACTATGAAATGAATGAATGAAAAATGGATCAAGACAGAAATATGAAAGGAATTAAAGACTTTCTAGAATACAATGAAAATGAATCCACAGCATGCACAAACTTATGGGACACAATGAATGTGGTGCTAAGGGGAAGTGCATTAACACTTGGTGCCTGTGTAAAACAAAATGGAGAAATCTTATACAAGCAACTTAGCAACATACCTGAAAGCTCTAGAACAAAAAGAAATAAGCATACCCAAGAAGAGTAGATGGGAGGAAATAATCACAGTGAGAGCTGAAATCAATAAAATAGAAACAAAGAGGACGATAGAAAAATCAATGAAGCAAAGACAAAATTGTACAAATTAACTAAAAGATGGAGAGAGATATCCAAATGAACAAAATCTAAAACAAAACGGAAGGCCTAACAACAGGCAACAAAGAAATCAAAAAAAAAATCATCAGGTCATACTTTGAAAACCTGTACTCCACCAAAACTGGAAAATCTTGAAGAAATTGATAATTTTCCTCATAGATACCACTTACTAAAGTTAAATCAAGATCCAACAAACAATTTAAATAGACCTATGAATCCTAGTGAAATAAAAGTAGTCATTAAAAGTCTCCCAACCATAGACAGCCTAGGGCAAGAGAGTTAGTGCAGAATTCTAACAGACTTTCAAAGAAGAGTTGATGCCAGTTACCCGGACACACAAAC